AGTTTGTTCGCAGCTAATACTGAAGTACCTGGACTTGCCGATCGAGTACTACGGCCGCAGCCCTAAACCCTAAACCCTAAACCCTAAACCCGAATTTGTGCGCATTTCCTCCTCCACCCCCCAAACCCCAAACCCCAAACCCTAAACCCCAAACCCTAAACCCTAAACCCTAAACCCTAGTTTGTTCGCAGCTAATACTGAAGTACCTGGACTTGCCGATCGAGTACTACGGCCGCAGCCCTAAACCCTAAACCCTAAACCCAAATTTGTGCGCATTTCCTCCTCCACCCCCCAAACCCCAAACCCCAAACCCTAAACCCTAAACCCTAAACCCTAAACCCTAGTTTGTTCGCAGCTAATACTGAAGTACCTGGACCTGCCGATAGAGTACTTCGACTTGAGTTTGGAAAACAGAGATGCAACAGAAGACAAAGTGACTTTGGAAGCAGCAGCAGCAATTAAGAGAGTTGGAGTTGGAGTCAAGTGCGCCACCATCACCCCCGACGAAGAAAGAGTCAAAGGTCCAAACCCTAAACCCTAAACCCTAAACCCTAAACCCTAAACCCTGAACGCTGAAGGCTGAGTCCGCAGGGGGGGTGCGCCGACGAAGCTGCGGGCCCGGGGGAGTCATCGCTGCAAGTCATGGGATGAGGGTAACGGGTTTAGGGTTTAGGGTTTAGGGTTTAGGGTTTAGGGTTTAGGGTTTAGGGTTTGCGCGCAGAGTTCGGCCTCAAGAAGATGTGGAAGTCCCCAAATGCCACAATTCGAAACACGTTGGGAGGAACCATTTTCAGGATGCCAATTATCGTCAAAAACGTAAACCCTAAACCCTAAACCCTAAACCCTAAACCCTAGGCCCAAGCAGCAGTTTGCAACCTATGGGGCAAGTGTGGGAACACACCTGTGACCTTTCCGGCTGCTCTGCGTCTCGCTGCAGCTGCTGCAGCAGCAGCAACAGCTGCAGCTGCAGCAGCTGCAGCAGCAGCAGCAACAGCTGCAGCAGCAGCTGCAGCAGCAGCAGCAGCAGCAGCAGCTGCTGCTGCTGCACCCGCAGCAGCAGCACCAGCATTTCTTGCACTGTGCCCTAACCTCGCACCTCCCTCCCACCCCCACTTCCTCCCCTACTACATCCGACGCCGCCGCCGCTGCTGCTGCTGCTGCTGCTGCTGCTGCTGCTGCTGCTGCTGCTGCTGCTGCTGCTGCTGCTGCTGCTGCTGCTGCTGCTGCTGCTGCTGCTGCTGCTGCTGCTGCTGCTGCTGCTGCTGCTGCTGCTGCTGCTGCTGCTGCAGGTCCCGCGTTTGGTGCCCACGTGGGAAAAGCCCATAATAATTGGCCGCCACGCCTTCGGCGATCAGTACCAAGCGGTGGAGTTCCGCGTGCCGGGGCCGGGGACTGTGAAAATAACTTACACTCCCGAGGACGGGTAGGGTTTAGGGTTTAGGGTTTAGGGTTTAGGGTTTAGGGTTTGGGGTTTGGGGGTTGGGTTGGGGGCTGGGGTAC